GGGGGGGCTGGTTGCGAGGGGTTGGAGTGTTTTGTAGTTGTTGATGAGGTGGTGATACATGTGGACTGGAGTAAGATAGAAGAAATACAGGACGTTTTTGTAACCCGTGCTTGTCCCCACCCATCTTCACGCGGCACTCTGTTACAGAACCAGGCGCTCAGGTACAACTTTGCCGAGAAGCTGAAGCAAACGATTTTGTGTTAATGGGCCAACTCCATCTGGGTAAGATGGAAGGCGGTAGTGTGTGTGTGTTTGTGTGGCAAGGATTAGAGATACAAACACAATCGGTGTAAAACAAAGAAAGACAACTGACAACTGCCTGGATTTGTGCTGTCTCTTGCGATTCGATCCTCGCGTACACAAACGAGTCAGTTTGTGGGCCAGTTCGGACGCGCCCAAACAACTCCAGTACCTCAACAAGCACCACCACCACCACCACTACTTCCGTTCTCCTCTTCCTCCTCCTCGTCTTCGTCGTCGTCATCGCCACCGCCTTCGAACACGCACACACACGCCCATGCACAGATATAGGAAAACAGAATAATAATTACCAACAGTAAACATCTTATTACACACTGACGCTGAATAGATCCCGTCGGGACTACGGATAGTTGTTTATCTCTGATAGTTTCAGATTGTCTTACTCGTGTGTGCGCTTGTGTGCGCATGTGTGTGCCGGTGTCCGGGAAGGGAAGAAGAAACCGAGACTATCACCGTAAATAATGCAAAATGTTTTGTTTCGCAGTCAAAAGGAACCGCACTCAATTTCACTCCGGATTCCTCAGAGTTTTCAACTGACAGTGATATTAAATGATGTGTGTGTGTGTGTGTGTGTGTGATCGCGCAGAATGACCATACATTATTGCAGGTACGATGGGGGAAAATACTGTTTTTATCTTACTATAAAAAATTCATTTCCAGCCCAATCTGAGATTTTCGTTGTACTCCCGGTTACACACATCCCATAAGAGATCATTCTGGACATCACGCAGTTGTATTTCACCACGACTGAAAAAAAATTTTTTTGTACATGCCCACTATTGTGATAAAACCAACTTTTGAGGGGAATTCTCAAAACAAAGAATTGTAATCAAAGACGAAATTCGTGTTCGGACAGAATGAACCGGATTTTCGCTTTGTTCAGCACCGCGTGCAGCGCCTGTGACTCGACCGAACAACGGATTGGGAAAACCGAAGCTTCAAAGATATGAATACCAGCGTATTTTATATGAGCACCGAGAAACTGATCACACTACCCGACTGTACTACTTTCGGAACGGTTCCTGTTCGGTATGGTGCCAACTCTACAGCCGTTTAATGCTCGCCATAGTTTGGCAAGGATGGGTTATATAGACAGCGTGCAACGTTCCGTCAAAGGAACATTGCTATCGTTCATCATCCACTGAAGTACCGAGCAGCTGATCAGCTGATTCACGATACACACACAAGGAAATTTTGTCCAGTCATTCACATACTACTTATTACGATATATATGTATATATCAGGGATTTGGACTCGGGTAAGAGCAGTTCGAGCTTTACTACTCTACTGAAGGCATTAGATAGTGTACTTGCACAATGGGAATAACAAGGCCAAGTGAAATGGTCATCTCGATTTTCCCAATCAAACTTGGGTTGAGATGAACGTATCCTTGTTCCAGCAACTTTTTCCGTTACTCACCGACCACGTTTCTCCAGTCTAGAACAGCCAGCGAATGATGATTTAAGGCAGTTACAGTTTTTTCCCTCGAAAGATAATTAGGATATTAGAACGATTCTCGGTTCGTGCTTTTTTTCTTCTTCTTCTGGGACTTTTGTTCTTCCTGAGATTCAGAAACTGTAGGATAAATTATATGTACAGCCAACCAATTGTTCGGTTCCATAGAGAATACACTCAATAACATGACACAGACGACGAGCAAGTTACCGCATGGGTATTACTAAACTTCTCTTGATGAAAGTACTCAAGTACATTAGAAGACTCCGGGCGGGACAGTAATGTGTTTGAACGGTCCAACATGTTGGATAAATGCTCTAATGTTGTAATGATATTGAAGGCAATTCACTCTTGAAATCCAAGTGACATCATTTTCTAGATCGCTTTGAAAATTGCCTATTTATTTATCGGTTCATTTCGGTCTCTCAAAAGGTGTATATCAGTACGTCAGATGTCCAAATGCATGCCAATTTTCACCGGAAAGACGCAGTCATCATTCAGGAAGGATTTCAGCGTTTCCGTGCCAGCGAGAATTGCGGTGTTCAAATTTGTCCGTTCTATCAGGAACGAACGACACATTTTCACTGTCGACGGCCGAATTGTCGATTCACCTTCAAAAACAAAGCAGACATGGGTAAGTGGATACCCCCCCTCTCTCTGTTCATGTGTGTGTGTGTGTGTGTGCGTGTGCGTGTGTGTATGTGTATAAGTATGTAGAACCTGGGTATTCAGTTAGCATATGATCCTGCTTCACAACATTATTCTGTTTAGGAGCAAATCGCTTCAGAACTAGTTGTCCATATGCGCACCGATGTGTATGATGTGTACAATGAATGAAGCACTTATGGTCAGGTGGTCTGATCACCACTGAAGGATAATCTTCGGTCATTAGACCTTTCCTAGCTAGAATCCAGATCTTATATGTTTGCTTGGGACAACAGTCTCTCGTTAGAATGAAGATTTTTTGTGGGAACTGAATGTGTCGATTCCTGACGCGTCAGATATTCGTCGAACGAAGTCGGCGGAATGGAGAGATTATACTGACGTTCAAACAGTTAACAGAAGAAAAATCCACTTCGATTCATAGGCGTATTGACAAAATGCATCTGTATACGGACGACCCGTATACTCTTGCAGCAGGCTTACAATGAATTTGCGATCAACCACAGACATTCCACACCAATAAAATCGACTCATTTGTATTAGCAACAATTTAACCAGTCCACGTGGATGAGTGAGACTGGCATAGTCCGTCCATTCACTTTCGCGTATTCGATTCCCTTCCTCCTCATTCCTCTCGAGGTTCAGGTACAGATATCGGTTTCATTGCCCAAATTCCGAGACCGGGCACGTCAATGAAGTGCGCGTAAGATACATCCATCGCAGATTGGGTTCCGAAGGTTGATCATGGCCTGTCCAAATGAAATGTCACACGGACAAACCTCGTGATAAACCCTTATTCGCATATACCTGTGAATCCGAAGGAATGCACCGATCGATTAAGTGTCTTCCGTCTTCTAGGCTGGGATGCACAAGACTCCGTAACTGGATGGTTGGAGATACTGAAGGACATGGTAGTGAACCAACAAAAGTGGCGTTCTCGTTGTCACGTCTTACCAGACCAGAATGCTTGAAATAGTGTGCATGCACAGGTGAACTGTGTACTCAAGGTGTGTTGATCATCGGGGGTTCGCTTTCTTACCCCTCCCCGGCCCCATTAGTGGAAATAGG